TCACCAGCTGATGTTCACTTGTTTCTGTTGGCAGATCTTTGGACTTCTAGAGATTCTCACCAAGCTGATGTTCACTTGTTCTGTTGGCTGATCTTTGGACTTCTAGAGATCTCACCAAGCTGATGTTCACTTGTTCTGTTGGCAGATCTTTGGACTTATAGAGATCTCACCAAGCTGATGTTCACTTGTTCTGTTGGCAGATCTTTGGACTTCTAGAGATCTCACCAAGCTGATGTTCACTTGTTCTGTTGGCAGATCTTTGGACTTCTAGAGATCTCACCAAGCTGATGTTCACTTGTTCTGTTGGCAGATCTTTGGACTTCTAGAGATCTCACCAAGCTGATGTTCACTTGTTCTGTTGGACTGATTTCAAGTGGAAACGGCTTTGATTTCATTGTTGTTGAACTTGTTGTTGAACTTGTTGTTGTTCCAGTGTATCTTCTACTGGATTATTAGTTTATCTCACAGGACGTAAAACAAAACAAAATAAATAAAAGCAGCTTCAAAATGTGTCCGCAGCAATAAATAAATAAGTGCAACATTATTTGAAAAAAATAGATCTATGAAAATAAAAGTATATCTAATAACAAGGGGGAATGTAATGGTGTATTTCGTCTCTAAATCATGTATTTATTTGAATGTATTCTTGTTTTCAAGTGGAAACAGCTTGATTTCATTATTGTTGAACTTGTTGTTGAACTTGTTGTTGAACTTGTTGTTGGAGCAGCTTTTGTTCCAGTGTGTGGTGTTAGTAATACTTGAGTAAATGTACTTATTTATTTCCCACACAAAAAGCTCCTCTGTATATCAGATACCTCTCGTGTTACTCTATTTATCTCTCATGCCTCCACGTGAACAAGATGAGAGGTACTTTATTGATCCTAAATTATTAAATGTTTGCGTTGCAGCAGCATAAAAACAAATAAACAAGGCGTTGCACCGACAGCGACAGCAGGAAGCAAACCAAGTGGCTGAGGCCTGTTTGCTGTTGTGTGACACGAGACAACAAAGTACTGTTGAACAATAATGTAGTTTAATGAAAACTGAGATGATCAACTTACCCTCTCTTCCACACACACACACACACACACACACACACACACACACACACACACACACACACACACACACACACACACACACACACACACACACACACACACACACACACACGCCCCTTAGCTGTGATGAGCGTATACCACGGCCTGTCGTGAGCTATTGCTTAATTATAATAATTTTTATAAACAGCTCTGTGTTCTTATAACATTTTCTCACAAAGTACTTATTTTGCAAATGTAATATTAAACTTTGGAATACTCTAAACACCCTGTGGAGACCCTAAATCTACCCGACCCCTTTTTAACCGCATTTCTTTGTCTTAATATACGTGTAATCTGTTCAATGACGTTGAATATAAAGACGTCCTGTGTTACTGAAACACAGAGGCTTGTTTTAGGTTCATTATACGGTTACATGCCGTTTAACAGAAGCACGTTGCCCATAAACTACATGTCCCACAATGCATCTCATTGTGTTACACTGAAGAGCAATGATTTGCCCCAGACTTCTGCTTTCAGACGTAGCTAATTATGAAGTTATTACCTATCAGATGATAATCCATTGCAGAGGAAATCATGTGATATAATACATTATTTTGTATATATTTATATATGTATTTTTATATAGTCTTAAAGTTACAACCGGCCCTTTGAGTGCCACCTTAATGCTGATGCCTCCCGCGATGACATTGAGTTTGCCCCCTCCTCTAAAGAGCAGCAGCAGCAGAGCTCAGTGTTAACAAAGAAAGCAGAATAAAGAAACAGAGAGAAGCAGGAAGCAGCGTCAGGTGAACATCTTTATTCCTCTATCAAACTGATCTGAAGTCTGCATTTTAAGTGCATTCACAAATATACAAAATGCCGCATTTTAAACAAGTATAATCACTATTTTTAAACTCAGTAAATATTTTTAAAGTCTGCAGCTTTCAGGCACATGATAAAATATTGTTTTCATTTCACTGGACTAAAAAAGATATACAGAGAGGTAGAGGAGACTCTTTAAACTCACCCAACTCCAACACAGCGGGGAACCCAGGAGGTCTGATCACTATCTAATCTCTTCATTGGAGAGAAACACATCACTGCAGAGAAACCTCTCTCATAAGCCCAGAGACGCAGTTAGAGCTGAGTCTCCTGTGAAGCTATTTTGTATCTGGAAACACATGACGTGAAGTGGAGCCTCTGCAGGACTAGAAACAACTCACTATCATTTAAGAAATGCATCCAGTGGTTCATAAGAACACCTTTAAAGAGTCCTCTCCTGCTGATGTTCAGGTGTATATCAGTATGTAGTGTCTCTACTTTAAAGAGTCCTCTCCTGCTGATGTTCAGGTGTATATCAGTATGTAGTGTCTCTACTTTAAAGAGTCCTCTCCTCTGATGTTCAGGTGTATATCAGTATGTAGAGTCTCTACTTTAAAGAGTCCTCTCCTGCTGATGTTCAGGTGTATATCAGTATGTAGTGTCTCTACTTTAAAGAGTCCTCTCCTCTGATGTTCAGGTGTATATCAGTATGTAGAGTCTCTACTTTAAAGAGTCCTCTCCTGCTGATGTTCAGGTTGTATATCAGTATGTAGTGTCTCTACTTTAAAGAGTTCCTCTCCTGCTGATGTTCAGGTGTATATCAGTATGTATGGTGTCTCTACTTTAAAAGAGTCCTCTCCTGCTGATGTTCAGGTGTATATCAGTATGTAGTGTCCTCTACTTTAAAGAGTCCTCTCCTCTGATGTTCAGGTGTATATCAGTATGTAGAGTCTCTACTTTAAAGAGTCCTCTCCTGATGATGTTCAGGGTGTATATCAGTATGTAGTGTCTCTACTTTAAAGAGTCCCTCTCCTCTGATGTTCAGGTGTATATCAGTATGTAGAGTCTCTACTTTAAAGGTCCTCTCCTGCTGATGTTCAGGTGTATATCAGTATGTATTGTCTCTACTTTAAGAGTCCTCTCCTGCTGATGTTCAGGTGTATATCAGTATGTAGTGTCCTCTACTTTAAAGAGTCCTCTACCTCTGATGTTCAGGTGTATATCAGTATGTAGTGTCTCTACTTTAAAGAGTCCTCTCCTGCTGATATTCAGGTGTATATCAGTATGTAGTGTCTCTACTTTAAAGAGTCCTCTCCTGCTGATGTTCAGGTGTATATCAGTATGTAGTGTCCTCTACTTTAAAGAGTCCCCTCCCTCTGATGTTCAGGTGTATATCAGTATGTAGTGTCTCTACTTTAAAGAGTCCTCTCCTGCTGATGTTCAGGGTATATCAGTATGTAGTGTCTCTACTTTAAAGAGTCCTCTCCTGCTGATGTTCAGGTGTATATCAGTATGTAGTGTCTCTACTTTAAAGAGTCCTCTCCTGATGATGTTCAGGTGTATATCAGTGTGTAGTGTCCTCTAACTTTAAAGAGTCCTCTCCTGCTGATGTTCAGGTGTATATCAGTATGTAGTGTCTCTACTTTAAAGAGTCCTCTCCTGCTGATGTTCAGGTGTATATCAGTATGTAGTGTCTCTACTTTAAAGAGTCCTTTCCTGCTGATGTTCAGGTGTATATCAGTATGTAGTGTCTCTACTTTAAAGAGTCCTGTCCTGCTGATGTTCAGGTGTATATCAGTATGTAGTGTCTCTACTTTAAAGAGTCCTCTCCTGATGATGTTCAGGTATATATCAGTATGTAGTGTCTCTACTTTAAAGAGTCCTCTCCTGCTGATGTTCAGGTGTATATCAGTATGTAGTGTCTCTACTTTAAAGAGTCCTCTCCTGCTGATGTTCAGGTGTATATCAGTATGTAGTGTCTCTACTTTAAATGAGTCCTCATCCTGATGATGTTCAGGTATATATCAGTATGTAGTGTCTCTACTTTAAAGAGTCCTCTCCTGCTGATGTTCAGGTGTATATCAGTATGTAGTGTCTCTACTTTAAAGAGTCCTCGCCTGCTGATGTTCAGGTGTATATCAGTATGTAGTGTCTCTACTTTAAAGAGTCCTCTCCTGCTGATGTTCAGGTGTATATCAGTATGTAGTGTCTCTACTTTAAAGAGTCCTCTCCTGCTGATGTTCAGGTGTATATCAGTATGTAGTGTCTCTACTTTAAAGAGTCCTCTCCTGCTGATGTTCAGGTGTATATCAGTATGTAGTGTCTCTACTTTAAAGAGTCTTCTCCTGCTGATGTTCAGGTGTATATCAGTATGTAGTGTCTCTCCTTTAAAAGAGTCCTCTCCTGCTGATGTTCAGGTATATCAGTATGTAGTGTATCTACTTAAAGAGTCCATCTCCTGCTGATGTTCAGGTGTATATCAGTATGTAGTGGTCTCTACTTTAGAGAGTCCTCTCCTGCTGATGTTCAGGTGTATATCAGTATGTAGTGTCTCTACTTAAAGAGTCCCTCTCCTGGCTGATATTCAGGTGTATATCAGTATGTAGTGTCTCTACTTTAAAGAGTCCTCTCCTGCTGATATTCAGGTGTATATCAGTATGGTAGTGTCTCTACTTTAAAGAGTCCTCTCCTGCTGATGTTCAGTGTATATCAGTATGTAGTGGTCTCTACTTTAAAGAGTCCTCTCCTGCTGATGTTTCAGGTGTATATCAGTATGTAGTGTCTCTACTTTAAAGAGTCCTCTCCTGCTGATGTTCAGGTGTATATCAGTATGTAGTGTCTCTACTTTAAAGAGTCCTCGTCCTGCTGATGTTCAGGTGTATATCAGTATGTAGTGTCTCTACTTTAAAGAGTCCTCTCCTGCTGATATTCAGGTGTATATCAGTATGTAGTGTCTCTACTTTAAAGAGTCCTCTCCTGCTGAGGTTCAGGTGTATATCAGTATGTAGTGTCTCTACTTTAAAGAGTCTCTCCTGCTGATGTTCAGGTGTATATCAGTATGTAGTGTCTCTACTTTAAAGAGTCCTCTCCTGCTGATGTTCAGGTGTATATCAGTATGTAGTGTCTCTACTTTAAAGAGTCCTCTCCTGCTGATGTTCAGGTGTATATCAGTATGTAGTGTCTCTACTTTAAAGAGTCCTCTCCTGCTGATGTTCAGGTGTATATCAGTATGTAGTGTCTCTACTTTAAAGAGTCCTCTCTCAGAGCCCTTTTAGAGACAAGAACAGATTCAAAGATGGAGGAACTTGAAGAAGAAGCAGATAATGTGACGACAGCAGAGTTTCCAGAGGAGCAGAAACTGAAATATTGGAGCGTGAAGAAGAAGAGCTGGAGACCATCGATGAAGAGGAAGAAGAGGAAGATCAGGGGGGGGCTCGAGATCTCGTTACCGTTCTCCAGAATCTCCTTCACATTCTCCAGGTTCTCGATAACGTTCTCCAGGTTCTCGTTGCTCTCGTAGCACCCTGAGTCTCGAGGAGAATCTCCGGTTATTCCTCGACGCTGAATCAGTTTCTCCTGAACGACCTGACGCTCTGGATCGCTGCTTCCTGCGATACAAAGCACAACCACCAGGGGGAGAGCGTCACCTTGAGGAAACATCACATATGTTGATTTCAAGAGAGTCGGATAAAGCTGGCTCTGTTGTGTTAACGAGGTCTGCGGAGAGAATACATCAATAAATATAATAACAATATTTGATTTGTAGCTGACAGCTCTTCTCAAAGGCCCACGAGGAGGTTAAACAACGTGTGTTTGGGATGTGTTACCCTCGTCCTCCTGCAGCAGCTCCACGGCGGTCAGCAGGACAGCTCGATGCTGAGCATCTCTGATGTTCAGCTCGTCCAGGTCCTCCTCCTCCAGCAGCTGGAAGGTGTCCAGGTCCTCGTATCCGTTAAACAGGAAGGTGGGGAGGTGCTCCTGGAGAGAGGAGGGCACTACATGTCATGCTTTTCTGGTTATTACCCCTCCTCACAAACCCTCAAAGTGCACCCTGTAGCGAGTAACACTCTAACACAGAGAAGACCTGTCTGTGCTGCCCCAGAACGCCTCGATGGACATTTATCTTTTTCTTCCTGGGTACAGTGACGTGCCCATACCCAAATGGACCAATCCATGAAGCCGCTACGTTACGTCCACGGAGCCGTTAGGTTAAGTCCGTGGATTGGTCCTTTTCCTCACACACACACACACACACACACACACACACACACACACTCTCAATCTTTTCTCAGCTGCAGCTCCGCCGATTTCTCCTCCCTGAGACGGCGGGACGCGGCGAGGCTGGGAGTCGGTGTGTGAGCACACACACAAACTCCCAGCCAGGCTGCGGGTGTGTGTATTCGGGCTGGGTTTCGCTGTGTCTCGCTGTCTCACACACACTCTCTCAGCCTTATCTTTTCTCAGCCGTGGGTCCGTGGATCTCCACTCACAGTTCTCCACACACTCACGTCTGTGTGCTCAGCCTGAGTTCCTCGGTGTCTCGCAACAACCAGGAAACGACCCCAGTAACGCAGCTCACACTGTCCGCTCCTCGAGCCTCAAAGGGTGGAGCAGCGAGCCCCCCAACGTCCCCCCAACACGGCCCCCAGACCCCACGCAGCATTCTCACCTGTTTGTCATCACTGGTGTCATTTCCTGGTTGCTAACAAACGCCATTGTAAAACATAATCACTGATGTTCGGCTGCTGTAAACGGTGGTGGACCAATCAGAAACAGAGTG